CAGAGGCCTAGTGTGGAGGATAACATAAGGTATTGAGGCAATTGGATGAAAAACACAATATTTATGATTAAAATAAAAGTCATTCGGTCACTTTTGACCCGAAACGCAAGAGAAGGGTTAAGTTATGGATGTTTAAAGTTTAACCTCTTCATATTTGACTAGTATTAAAGTTCACTTTTCATTCAGGAAGTATGACGCTGCGCTGTCAGTGCGCTTCTCCATGTTTGTGATTGGTCGAATGCTCCAAATACCACCCCTTTCATGTGAACGCGCACCTAACTAGATAGGACACGGCTGGCTTGAGCGATCCACTTGATAACCAGCATCGTAGTACCGTTTAGCGAGAGCGCGTATGTTTTGGATTAGGCCAACCGGCTAACTCAAACATATCCAGGTTAAGAAAATCCAGCTTCGTAGTACAGGCCTCTGGTGGTCCCGACCAGGTTAGCCGCACAGCATAAGTTACCATGGAGATCTAGCCTGCTAAAAAGAGAACCAGCTTCGTAGGACCGGAAACCCCGAGTTTTCCCTGAAGTTAGCCGGCTAAGCGAAAATCCTGCTTCGTAGTATACCCCCCGGGCCTCAGCTGTTCCACTTCCTCCAAGCGTAAACACGTGTTCTTAAACACATATACAGTACTATTGCTCACACAAATACTTGCTAAAGCACCAAATGTGGACAAATCCGCCTCTGAAAATAGTCCCCAGCAAATGCAATGTAAGCAGCTGTTTAAGGAAATTATTGATTACTGAAAAATTAAACTATATATGTTTGTTTTTATAGTGGGAATGGATCTGAGAGACACAGAGTCAGATGTCTTTTGAGGATAACACAAATATTAAGTATTTTCCTTAAATTATTAAAATATCAGTGTTAGTATTAATGAAGTGAAGCTATTCAATCAAGTTGGAATTCAATCATATCAATACATACATCATACACACATAAAGAACAACGTATGACATGTGGATGTATTTGTTTAAGTATTTGATCAGGAAGATGGACAAAGAAGAAGGGAAAAGTTGTGCAGCTGAACATTTATCTGATCTGCCCTGCATCACACAGTAGAGTCTCCCGAGGCTCTGCATGAAATGTCAGTTAAATATCAGAGACATCAGTTCCCGCTGACCATAATACTCCCTCAGAGAGCTCCAGCTATCATATGAGCGGTGATGAAGTGCAGCAAAGTGAGTGAGCAACAGCTGGGGTGCAGATATTGCAGTCATCTGTTCTCACTCCTTAAAAAAAACACTGCTGGAGAAAATGTCAAGGCGTAAATGAAGTGAATATTTGTAGGGTTCAACACACAGATTAGATAGAGGACAACGTAAATTCAGCTTTTCTTTTGTAATACTATTTACAGTTTAGTAGCTTCCACTCACACACTTACAGTAGGTTGCTGTTTTTCAAAAAAACGTGAAGTCTATAAATGAGTTTTTACTGACATCTCATGGTGAATTCTTATCAATACACTGACCTTCATGGTACAACCAAGTGTGTGTGAACGGGACAGTTGTTGATTTTATTGAAGTATATTTACTCAAGTATTGTACTTTTTGACATATTTGTGCCACTTATTTATGTACTTTCATTTTATGCTATACTTTGTGTCGAATATTGTACTTTTTTAGCCATATCAAATATTTATCTAAAATGTAGTTACTAGCCAATTTTTAAATATAAATTGGCTCAACATTGGTAAACTAAATGTAAACTACATTACATGTTATTAAAACCTAATACTACCATTCTGCATACTGAGTGCTATTACCTGTGACTTTTATTGAAGAACAATTTTCATAATTATGTACTTCTAACTTCTATTTTTGCAGATAAGTATTACAGAAAATAGTATTTCTGCTTTAAATCAAGTTAAACGTTCACAAAATATTTCAACTCCTTAACATTTCGACTTAATTCTAAACACTTCCATTTATTCTTAAGATTTTGACTTTATTCCCGACATTTCCACTTTATGAATATTGAAGTATCAATGTTTTTTTATTTGTTCTCAATATTATAATATTTATTCTCGACATATTGACTTTATTCTCAATATTTTGACTTTATTCTTAATATTTGTAACCTTGTATTGATTTATTTACCCTTATGCTGGTCCTTATAGTCTTCTTTCTGACAGAATATCAGCCGCTTCCTTTAAGCCTATCACTAATTCATGTGAGTTAGATAAACACATGCTCTTCCCTCATGAGAAAATATAAAGTTATGACGTCCAGAACAGAAGCGGATTGTCTATAATCAAGATGGAATTCAAAGTGGACGATCACTTTAGAGCTACTTAAGGATGAATTACACGGATGCTCGAGGTTAAAGAGCGTTTATAGACTGCAGGCCTCAGCATAATCTCTGTGCTTTGAAAACTATAACCAAATTAGATAAAGTCAATATGCTGCAGGCCTCTTCTTATCCTATTATGGTTGGGCCTTCTCCACTGGGTATTTGAATAACCACACAGGCTCCACTTCATGTTATGTAATAACTGCTGTTTGAAGCAAAGTGCTGCGTGCTGACACCAGGAAGAGTTAAGACATGAAATACAATCAGATCATTACATTTTACATAAATAGTCTAGCAAAAAACTATAGCAGGTTTAAAGGTGGGGTAGGTAAGTTTCAGAAACCGGCTCGAGTGCACTAAAATTTGAAAGTACACAGCCGAAAAGAATCCGCCACTTCCTTCAGACTTCCTTACAGAGCACCTCCTCCAACACACACGAACGCGCACATGACGTCAGCAGACTGGTGAAAGTGGCCGCGAGTCATTGAAGTACTGCTGCAATGCACGCCCAATGACGGCACGCCCAATGAGGGCACGAGATACATTTGTGCGTGCACAAGATGGAAGGCTGACAGACAGGGCGGCAATCCAATCCGTTTAGCCGTTGTACTTTTTACAGTATTACGGCTTCCACAGATGACATTTTTTTATGGATTTTTTGTCAATATTCATTGCTATTGGGATGTTAAGAGCATTCCATGGAATATAACATATGTATCTCGAGCCAGTTTCTGAAACTTACCTACCCCACCTTTAAATACTGTCAGTCCAAAAAACTTGATCGGCATCAGTTGCGGAATGTTATTATTATTATATGTTTTTGTTTGTATTATTACCTATTTTTTACTTCCTTTTTGATGGTTTTGTCGTACATTATTTTACATATTTCTTATTGTAGACTAAATGTTTTTAATTTATACCAATTTTCCTTGACTATTGCATTATTTTTTACTTTTGATTTTAATTTTGCTCTATGTTATTAAAACAAGGCCAATTATTTTTCTCGGAAAAGCTACAAAAATAAACCTGCATTTATAATTCTAATCATTTATTTATTACAGCAGATATTTAAACTTTTTAAAGCAGGAGAAGAGAAAAAAAAGTATGTATTTTTAGACAGTTTTACAGCAGCTAATTCAGAAATAATAAGTAAACAAAGGTAAAGCACGAGGAAAACACAAAAGAATAGTGTTTTTATTATAAATCTTGCTCTTGTTTAACTTTCATTTATTTCCAAGGTTTGCTGTTTTCAACCCTCGACATATTATTGGTTATTTGATTAATGTTAAATGTTACAGTTAATCAGTTACACCTGGGCTCCTTAACATATCTGTATAAAGTCAGCACAGCTGCTGCCCCCATCTGACTAATCAGCCGGGTAATTAAAAACACTTGTGTGAATGTGCATAGTATTTAAAAATTTCCAAAAACATCAAGGACTTTGCTGATCCCCTGACTTTCCATCTGGTGCCTTGATCAGGTCAAAAAGTTCAATTTGTCCAGTTCACATTCGCCTAAAATGTACTGTGTGATTATTGACATGCAAGCATTTTACCTGCAGAACACCAGACTGTCATAAATAAGTAAAGACTGTCACTGGAAATAATTAAATATACAGTAATTTAGTGCTGCTCGATGATTCGCTTGGTTTTGTCAGTCTTGAAACAAAAGTTGTTCACTTTTATCTGATATCAAACAGAAAAGATGGACATTTTAAGAGGCTGAACTGCATTTTTCTGACATTTGTGCAAGAAAAAAGTCTTGAAAATATAATCATAAATGATGTAGCATATACATAATTACAATACAATATTGTTATATATAATGATATTGCAAACTATCTAATTTTGAATGTTTAGTACTTTTACTTTGGATAATTCAAGGGCTTTATTGCATTTCTACACTGGAACTGCTACTTTCATTCAAGTAAAGGATCAGAAAAAAGCATATCAATAAATGATAAGTAGCTCCACCTTTACCAACTACAACACTAAAGTGATGTAATTATAACCCAATATTGCTATTCTAAAATGGCCCATTTTGTAAAATAAATACTATTACTTTTGATACTTTAAGTACATCTTGATGTTAATACTTTTGAACTTTTTTTGTAATGAATTTAAATGTGTACACTGTGGAACTGTAATTTATTTTCACTAAATTAAGTAAAATATCTAGATCAGGGGTGTCCAAACTTTTTCAACGAGGGCGATACAGAAAAATATACGAAGGGCTGGGCCACTCACTAGAGGTGAGGTGTATTGCCTCATAAGGTCAGTTATAAGTTGGAAAAATCAATCCAATGTAGGTCAATTATTCTTGATACTTGAAGAAAAAAACAGCCTATACATAACTGCTCTCCATAGGGTTTCATTTATTTTGTTAGCAGCTCATTCCTTAAAACAGAAGCTTCAGATTGCTTATAATAAGAGGAAATACAAAGGGTATATTGCAAGGTTGTTAGGCTATGTACATTTGTTATTGGGCTCTTTTCTCATCAACTAAGATTAGTTAGAAAATGTTTTCAATTTATTTGAAAATTGGGCTTGTTAACACATGAATACAGTGTAATATTATTGAACATATATTTTGAAGAAGTACAATATAAGACAAGCAGAAGTTTATTATACTCAAGTCATTTTGAATTTGCTGAGGGCCAATTCAAAATGGTCCGCGGGCCACATTTGGTCCCCGGGCCGTAGTTTGGACACCCCTGATCTAGACACTTCTTTCACCATTAATATCTAGGACAACTTGCATTTTGAAATATGCCTTAACACCAGACTATAAAGTTACATACAGGTATAACTTGATTAACTTAAAATATATGAGCCAATAAAGAGTATTTTAATAAGTCTAAAAAGTATTTTTACTGCAGTTGCTTCACCAGCTCCTCGTCAGTGACAGAGTCTGGAGGTTTTTGCAGATTCAACATGTTCTCCCTGCCGAGCTTCAGCTTCGGTTTGAAGCCCACCGAGAGCAGCTCCTTCTGGATCCTCTGATCCCTCTGCCGGCTCAGCAGAGTGAGTATCTCCCGCCTCTGGTCGGCCATGGCGGCATACCGCTGCCTCTCCTCCCGTCTCTGACGGAGAGCAGACACGCTGGGCGGCTGTGGGGCCGGGGCGGAGGGCTTGGGACCGGCGCTGCTGCTGCGCTGCGGCCGGTACACCGGCAGCCTCTGGCGGATGTCTGCGGACACCAGCCGGGACTCCAGCGGCGGCAGGAGGGACAGCGAGCTCCACAGCTGCCGGGCATGGGACACATCCTCTGGAGAAGAGCCGTCAAACACGGTGAAGCATTTATCTAAGTCCTCCTGCTCAACCGATGCAGACATTTTAATTGTCTTACAGAAAAGTGTTAAAAAGAAACTTGAAGCAAGTGCATTTACCTGTTGTTTGGTAGTCATTAGTCACCATGGAAACAAGACATCGCATAAACCTTTCAAAATAAAAGTACGTTAGGCCCATAGTATGTTAGTTAACTTGATTTCCCCTTAAGACAACTGAGTTTACTCAAAAATATCGTTTTCAGTATTCGTAATATAACGTTTATAATACTTACATATTTGTTCAGCAGGATGTTCTCCACATTAACACCGTTTATTATTATAATTGTTTAAGCTACAGTTCACTAAGTTAAACAAATTAGGCCTACATCTCGGCCCTTGACTTAACATTCACCACCCTGTCCACTCTGGCGGATCTGTTTTAGTAATGACCGGCTTCACATATCCCTTTTGGTTTGTAAGTAGGCCTATAGGCCTACTTTTAACGATATTTGGGAATTAGCCGATATTAAATGATATCTTAGTGTAGCCTATGTTGTAGGCTATAGTCGTTTGTGTAAGTGTTAAATGATTATGTGGAAATCAACAATCAATCAATCAACAATCAACAGCTGGCAAATGAATGTTTTGAAGCATGAATTGAGTTAAACTGTAAACGTACAAAATAAGAGTTAAATTATCGGAAACTTAATGTTGTTTTAAGTACACTGCTTGAGTGAATTTAACAGCCAATAATAATAACAGAAACAATTGCTCAATATCAGAAAAAACCCAAATTCTGTTTAGAACATTTATGCTTTTGTTTTGAAGGCAAACCTCTCCTGCTTCTGTGATTGGCTGACTGGACGTCTCTGCCAACTTTGGAAACGAGGTGGGTCGCGCGCGCTGCTGCTCCACCCCCAGGTGTCGCGGGCCGGTTTAAATAGTGAGAAAGGAGGAAGGACATGATCATCATCATCATCAGTTCATTTACCTGACATGATATTCTCATTTCCCTGGAGTGGAGTCTGCATCCTGCACTGAGAACTGAAGAACTGCACAGTGAGTACAAATACTTAATTTATTCATATATTATATACTTTTTATACGACCATATTTCATACAGAAGACAAGGGCAGGCTAATACTCCCATGTAATGAATTCAGCTGAAATAACCTGCTGAATTCATTTTAATGTGTAAAAAAATAACTTGTTTGAATATAAAAGTTATGTCACTTTTAGAGAAATATGTGACAATATTAATTAATTATTAATAGAGTTGTTAATTAAGTAGATATGAACATTGATTTAAAAAACCAGTAGCCTGCTACATTATCCTGAATTTCTTGTAGTGTTAAATGGTTAACACTTCTTGGTATTTGGATCATTATGGAGGATCATTGACCTTCACTTAAATCATTAAATGTCTCAGTAAAAATGTCAGAAATCTTCATTAGAGATTCCTGCTCACATACCTACTCTGTTGTGCGTGCACGCCTGTGCCACCCTTGGGTGCACCTTGTGACATGTCACCATTTTGGTGTAAACGGTGAGCTTGGCTGGACACATGAGCCACACCTTATAAGGTAGTATGCCTGCTAAGTACCGTAGCATCCCTCTTTGGGCTACCAAAGCTACCAGGAGCAAAGGGGTTAGCCAAACATGGGCATTCCAGCATGGCAGCCGAGTTGTTTGATTATAGGTATTATCTTCTGTGTGCTGCTTTTCATGTTTTATTGCCTGCTCTTCCATCGGAGGTCAACGCAGCCTTGTGACCTGCAGGCAGAGGCAGAGAAGAGGATAAGGGAGTAAGTAGCTCATTGTGAACCTGTAGGGAAATGCACTGAGGCAGTTATCTGCAGTAATGTGTCATAAATGTAAATTAAATTAAGAGTGAAAGTCGGATGCAAAAAGGCAGCAGTTTGAGAGACGAGGATGTGTTTTATGATGCTGGTTTGTCCTCTGTGTGATGTGTTGAAAAACTATCCTCCTCTGTTGGATGATAATTGAGCTCTTTAAATCTTACACTGATTAAGTACTAATTCAAATAGTTTTGAAGAGTTGTTGGGTTAGGTTGTTTTTTTTTTGCTCACTGTATGCTTCCAGCTCTCTAATCACACCTAATTAACCAAGGAAGTTTTTGAGTGTTAAATCCTTGATATATATTAAAATATATTTATTTTCACGAGGCTTTAACTTTGATTGTTTATTCTTAAAGCATAAATATAAAATGTTACAAAGAAATACTTGAAACTAACGGTCAACGTTTTTTGCTTACTTTTTTTAGGATCAGTTTTCTTCGGTCCGCAAGACTTTTCACAACACTTTGTTAGTGAATTCATATTTTATTACAGTACAAGTTCATTTTACAGCACATTTTTAACAAAAGCAACTCAACGTGCTACCAATAAATCATAAAAAAGGCCCAAAAAGATTTTTCAAGAAAACATAAGAAATACTGTAAGCTTTAAGTAGGGCAAAAGAATACAAATGGAAGTTAATAAGGTATTAATTCAAGAAAAACTATAAGAAATTGTTTTCTGGGAAATCTGATTATTTTCTTTTTTGCTTGAATAAGAGATCAATACCAGTTTCGTGTCTGTACAGCACTGTATGTATGAAGCTACCACCAGCAGCCGATTAGCGTAGCATACATACAGCTGGTAAACCGGGGACTGCGGGGTCACCAGCACCTAGAATTGTTGTTTCACAAGAAATTATGTGTTCAACTATTTTTTTTATAGCAGCAATGATTTTCAGGATTCTGCTGCTCCTGTTGTCATGTTGTGGTTCACGTTTTCAGCTATTTTGATTATGTGGTGTGTTATGTCAGTAGGCCAGAAGTCAAACCGAGGTCAGAGGTCAACCCGACTCCCATCGACCCACCAGAGGCCGACCCAGTCGTCAGTACCGACCCAGACCCCACAGCCTCTGAATCTGAGCCTGAGATCGACTCGACTCCTGACGCTGAAACCTCCAACATGGCTGACCCGGCCCCCGACGACAGCAAGTTCCTCTTCCTGGATAACGACTTCCGCAACAGTGGGGTGGCGCAGGCGGATTGGTCCGCCAAGAAGATGGTGTGGATCCCGTCGGAGAAGGAGGGCTTTGAGACCGCCAGCATGAAGGAGGATAAGGGGGACGAGGTAAAGGACGCCAGTAGAGATAATCCAACTGTAGTCGCATAACTGCATACCAAGTACTCTGATTCTTTACTGCTGAGGAAAAGTAGAAATAACACATTCTAAATATACACCAGCTTGGCAATATGGAGCCAATGTAAGGTACTTGGTAGAATATTATTTCATCATATCATATCAGTAACAAAAAAAGGGTTAGGTAAAAGGTAGAGTTCAGTTAAAAATACAATATTTGCCAATAATTGCGAACCGTTTTAAAATCAATTAATTTGAGAAAATTGATTTACGGCTCTTAAGCCCAATTGCCCCCGCCCTTAAGAGGTTAAATGAGAGGATTTTAAGCTTTTCATTTTCATATATTATAGGTTACTTAATATTTTGGGGTTTCTGGACATGAAATTGCAATTTTTGGGAAAATGAGGTACCATTACATTACATTGCATTTAGCTGACGCTTTTATCCAAAGCGACTTACAATAAGTACATTCGACCAGGAAGACACAACCTTGAAGAAAACAGAATCATATAAGTACATCAGGTTTCATAGAGCCAAACATTTCAAGTGCTACTCAACTGGCTATAGATAAGCCAGTCCTTTATTAGTATATAAGTGCTTTGTTAATAAATCTATCGCTCGAAGTGGAGTCGAAAGAGATGAGTTTTCAGTTTGCGCCGGAAGATGTGCAAGCTATCTGCTGTCCTGATGTCAATGGGGAGCTCATTCCACCATCTTGGAGCCAGGATAGCAAACCCACGTGTTTTTGCTGATGGGAACTTGGGTCCCCCTCGCAGCGAGGGTGCAGCGAGTCGTTTGGCTGATGCAGAGCGTAGTGCACGCGCTGGGGTGTACGGTTTAACCATGTCCTGGATGTACGAAGGGCCAGATCCATTCGCAGCATGGTAAGCAATTACCAGTGTCTTGAAGTGGATTCTAGCAGTTACCGGAAGCCAGTGAAGGGAGCGGAGGAGCGGAGTGGTGTGGGAAAATTTAGGAAGGTTGAAGACCAGACGAGCCGCTGCATTCTGGGTGAGCTGCAGAGGTCGGATGGCACATGCAGGTAGACCAGCCAGGAGGGAGTTGCAGTAGTCTAGGCGTGAGATGACGAGAGCCTGGACCAGAACCTGCGTCGCTTTCTGTGTCAGCTGGGGACGTATCTTCCTGATGTTGTAAAGCGTGTATCTGCAGTAACGGGTTGTAGCAGCGATGTTTGCAGTGAAGGACAGGTTGTTATCTAGGGTCACACCCAGATTCCTTGCAGTCTGAGTCGGGGAAACAACTGAGGTGCCGATGTTGATTGTTAGGTCAAGAGTGGGACAATCTTTTCCCGGAAGGAAGAGCAGCTCAGTCATGTCAAGGTTGAGCTTGAGGTGATGAGCAGACATCCGCTGAGAGATGTCAGCTAGACAAGCAGAGATGCGTGCGACGACCTGGGTCTCTGAGCGGGGAAAGGACAGAATTAATTGGGTGTCGTCAGCGTAGCAGTGGTATGAAAAACCATGCGGGCTAATGACTGATCCGAGCGAGTTTGTGTACAGGGAGAAGAGGAGGGGACCAAGAACAGAGCCCTGAGGGACCCCTGTAGTTAATTGACAAGGGTCGGACTCAGACCCTCTCCAAGTCACCCTGTAGGTACGGTCTTTGAGGTATGAGGTGAGGAGGGAAAGTGCAGAGCCTGAAACTCCAAGTTTTTGGAGAGTGCGAAGGAGGATCTGATGATTCACCGTGTCGAATGCAGCAGACAGGTCCAACAGGATGATGACAGAGGAGAGGGATGCTGCTTTGGCAGTGTGCAGTTCCTCAGTGACAGCAATGAGAGCAGTTTCTGTGGAGTGACCTGCCTTGAAACCAGACTGGTGCGGATCCAGAAGGTTGTTCTGATGGAGATAACAGGAGAGTTGTTTAAAGACAGCGCGTTCAAGTGATTTAGACAGGAACGGGAGTAGGGAGACAGGCCTGTAGTTTATAACATCTG